TTATGATCGCGGAGTTAGAAAGTCTAGGTGCTATTATATAGTATAAGGGCTGCACTGGCTATTACATGTATACCATGGAACTATTCGCTCTGAGCAGGAGTAAACATAGTAATGACATCAGTACCATGGTACAGTCGAGCTTACAGCGAGGCACCCACCAAAACTACCGCAACTAAAAATTCTTCAAATGATTACATCAACGCAGCAAATTTGCGATCAAAGAGAAACACTACCACTACTAGGCCTGTTCCAGTCCGAAATTACCTCAAAATGAGCATACACGCTATCCTTTTTCTGTAGGGAAAATATATTAAGTTAGAACTTTAGTTGCTGTGGGCTTAATGCTATGCTGCCGTCTGTTAGGTACCGTAAGACTTCTCTAGACACGTTATAGAGCGCATAGACTATGCCAAGAATTTATATAGCTCATGATGTCTGGTATCTACCTAAGTAGTTTTGGAAGACTTGGATACAATACATCTATCAGACCCACACATGTTGCACACGCCGCGAAAAGTTGTATGGGACGAATGAGGTACATGTGCACCTCAAGGCCGTTTCACAGCAAGCAAACATATATTTCCTTAAATACTATGAATTCCCCCTCTCTCGCGAAAATGGTTTCTGCATTATATCAGCAGCCTTGAACATGAGTCCAGTACAGCCAAAAAGCCCAGCCGTATCAACCACTTGCACTATTTGTACTTCCATCCTGATTCGGCCTGACGAGCCCCTTTCAGAAATCCACGCAACATCTTACTCTGGGGTAGACATTTTTGATTCAGCAACATCAGGATGTTCAATCTGTTCCATGGTATCCACCTGGTTGCACACCCTCACTCCCCCGAAAGCAACATTAGAGAACTCCACAATAACCGCGTATCTCCAAGCGGGCGACAACCGGGACCACGAAGAACTTGCCTCATCTGGGACAGCAAGGATATATTTCTTCTGTTTTGATTTTTGCGTCGATCCAGAGTTGGTTGAACCACCTGAATCACAATTCCAAATTCGCCTTCGAGCAGACATGAGCGACTCCCAGCAAAGCCGCATGCAGCTCAGGGCACGGGACGACTTCTACGGGCGCTCCTCTATCTCCGTGTCAAATGAGTTTGCAGATTCCACTCAGCACGTCAGCTGTTTCCAACAGATCCAGCGCTGGCTCGAAGTTTGTTTACGAGATCATCCATCGTGCCGCACGACGCTGGATCCTGACTCTCACGAAAAACTTCCCACACGACTAATCGACGCCTGTGAGAACCAACCTCGCCTAATCCTATCCGCAGAGCTCGAGAACACACCTATCCAGTACATCACTCTCAGTCACAGATTCACAGATGGCATAATATCGCCGTGCCGCGCTTGCTGACATCGAATCTGGAAGAACTTAGGAAGCGACTAGATGTCGCGAGTTTCCCACCCACGTTCAGAGATGCCATTGAGGCCACTATACGGCTGGGCTTCAGATATATCTGGATCGACGCTCTATGCATCATCCAAGATGATGTACAGAACTGGAAACAGGGGGCAGCCTCCATGGCTATGGTTTACCGTAATGCGGTATGTAACCTAGGTGCGCATGCTGCTGCGGCTGACCCTGAGTTTGTTGGATTGTTCGTTAGGCGTGATCCGGAGCAGATGCAGATACCATTTCTGAAGATACAGAGTCTGGATTGGGAAGGAAACTACTGGGCGGATCCGTTGGTGGAACCGAAACGCCTGTCTTCATCTCCTTTGATGCAGCGCGGTTAGGTGTAGCAGGAGCGCTTGTTGAGTCCGAGTTCTATCTACTTCGGTTCTATGCTACGCTGGGAGTGCTCAGAGCTTCAGGCCACTGAGAGGTGTCCTGGTGGACTCTCAGCTCCTATACATTTCACGCCGTGGCGTCTGGATGGATATCCCTTTCGTATCATCAACCTATTGCGGGATCACTTGAGGGAAGACTTTCAATATGTTATCTTCATCAACTCGCACAACGACCACGTCCAAGAAGTGTATCGCAAGTGGCTCTTTGTTGCTGATTGGTACTCGACTTGTCAGCTGACGTTTGAAGACGATTACTTTGCTGCACTACTTGGACTGGTATCTTGTTTCCAACCGATTTTGGATGACAGGTTCGTTGCTGGAATATGGGTCAATGACTTGATGAATGGGCTACTCTGGTTTCACGTACCTGGACAGACACTCATGTATCTGGAAAGAGAAAGAGGTTTGTGCACGTTGGAATGTCTGCATTGGATAGTGCTGAAATGAAGACAGCGCCCACGTGGTCTTGCGCATCCGTCGCCGGTAGGATTGCATACCCAGCTATAGACGATGCCGTTGAGTTTGGATACGAAAAGGTCTGGACTGCAAACGTGCTTGGTGTGCATGACTATGGTCTTGACTCTTCTTCGACAAAGCAACCCTGGCAAGCATCTATCCGGCTTCTTGGGTTGATCAGGCAAAGAACTACCTGGGTTCATCCTGGCACTTTCCAGAATCATTTAACACATCGTAATTGGTTTGATGTGAGGCGGATGGAGGATACACACCAGACTGTTCGGACCTTCACCTATCTCCTGCTTGGCTATAGAATCCTGAGACTAAAGAATCTCGCAGCTGGAATGGTTGACTTGAAAAGTCTTTTAGTGGAACCAGTAGTGGGCTGTAGGTCTACATATCGCAGAATTGGTGTATTTCATCATGATTGGAAGCATGCTCGAGATGATTCATGGTCAATTTCCTCCTTTTGTCGACTTTGACCCCA